TTTGGGTCACCTTGTCATACAGAGTCTGAGGGTATTATAGACAGAACCCGTGTTTCTTCAAAGATAATTAGAAAGCAGTTTTTTTTTTTAATTAAACTAAAAATAGAAAACAAAAGTTTTGTTGTAGGTGTGAAATTTTTTGCATGGGGCTTAAGAGAAATTAACTTCAGTTTCACTTGTTAATTTTTACTTTCTCTGGCAGAGGGAAGTAAAGAGCAGGGCAAGTGAGTGGAGAAAAAGGAGTTTAGGACCAAACATCGGAAGTCTGGGTTCTGGTCCTAGTGCTATAATGTTATTGCAAACCACGTCATTCTGGGTGAGAAGCATACACGTGTGTGTGTGTGTGTGTGTGTGTGTGTGTGTGTGTGTGTGTAGCATGAGGGAATTGAAGTGATCTCTAAATTTTTTTTCTGGTTTTAAAGCTAGTGATTTTGTGATTTTACATTGGGTTAAGGTTCTTGGGATAACAGTAAAGCCGTCTATGCTGATGTGAGTGGAAATTTTCTTTGGCCAAATTTTAGTTCTTTAAATAGTAGCCAACAGTCCTAAGTTTGGTTCCTTGCAACTTTTTCGAATAAAGGGGGAAAAAAAAATCCTCTAGAAAGGTGTGCCATTCTCCTTGCCCTCCCGTCCTTTGCTCCATGTAGCATCTGCACCAACCTCACGCAGGCAGACCTTTTATGGCCATTTTAACAGGAGTTGAAATTGACTTCATACAAACAGCTGCAGAGTGGAGTTTTTATCTTGGAGTGTATTTTTAATACAACGGAGCTTAGTGTACCCATGCCGAGGCGCAATACTCTTCCCGAGGAGCCTCCTCCTGGGAAACGTTTGGAAACCTGTTCCCTGCAGGGTGGCTCCGCCGGGCTCTCCTGTGACACCTGCGGGGCTGTCTGTGCTGGTATGTGGGAGGAGGTGGACGCGAGCAAGGCACGGTGTTCTGGGCAGCTCTGAGAGGTTCAGGCCTTTACAAGCAAGGCTTTGATTCTATTTTTTGCTGAACTAGCTCAGCCACTTCCTGTGTTTGGCAGCGCCTAGTGCCTCGCTGCACTGTGGCCACTTGAGCCCCGCGAGCCTGCGAGCCGCGCGCCGCCGCAGCCGGTTCGAGAGCCTATTTTAGGTCCCCTGACAATGGCCTTCTCACTTCCTCGGCGAGGAGGAGGAGGAGGAGGAGGACCTGGGCTGGCACTGGCCACTTGTTAACGATGATGACAACTTCGACTCGGACTTGGGCTCCCCTCCCCCACCCGAAATCCCTAGCTCAGCAAATATTTGAACCTGCCCAAGTTAATCATGAAGCCGCGATCGTTATCTGAGAGGGACGTGCGAGCGCCCGGGCTCCTTCCCTCCCCGGCGCAGCCTCGGCCCCGGTGCGCAGCCGGCTTCGGCTTCTGCACGGGCGGCGGGCGCTGAGCTGCGCTGCTGCCGGCGGCGCGTGCGAGCCTCGGGGTCCTGCGCCACACAGGCTGGAGGAATCGCTTTTCGGATTTTTTTTTTTTTTTCCGTTGTCGGATACAGGCATTTCTAAGGGAAACCGTTGAAATGCATAACCTGCAAAGTAAGTTGCCTTTCGTTTGGGCACAGCTCTGCCCCTTGGCTGTTTCACTGTTTTGGGGGACTTCTCTGAAAGGTTCATTTCTGCAGTTTGTCTTCGTGTGTGTGTGTGTGTGTGTGTGTGTGTGTGTGTGTGTGTGTGAGAGAGAGAGAGAGAGAGCGCGAGCGGGAGAGATAGTAAGCGCTGCCTGGGGAGGGCAGATGAGAGATTAGGGGAGACACTCCCCCATTTCCTCGAGGGGCACAATGTGAGGGAGAGATGGGGCTTCGGTTGGAAATGGGGAAGGAGGAAATTACCAAGTGCTGGTCTGGAAGTTGGGGCCTGGCCAGGCCTGGGGGAGACGTGGAAAGTCAGTCACCTGTCTCCCTGCCCTCCTCCCGGGGTCTACCACATGGGTTCCAGCAGCAGGACCGGTTTGCACCAAGTGCTCCCAAAGGCATGGGGGACAGGTCCCCTCCGGGCTGTCGCGCTGTCCTCCACAGCTGCTGGGAGGACTTGGGTCAACATTTTTATTAAGATTTTTTTTTTTCTGAGGACATATCCCCACCACTACCATTTTTCTTTGCATTTAGGGTTACTTCAACTTTTAGGCAAAGAGAGCCTGTGAGTGGGAGACGGTGGGAGGGTATAGGTTGAATCTGCCTGCCTCCTTAGTGGGAAACTGAATTAAACTGGAGGAGAGACACGTGAACAGTGCTCAGAGGCTGTCTTGCCTTTGCTCTATTTCTATATATTTTATGATTCCAAATTTGACAGAACGTCTAAGAATAAATTTCCAGGGCTTCTGTGTTCTTTAAATTGTCACAGAAATATGTGACATGCACATGTACGTAGATCACACAGCCCACTCTAGTTTTTTAAATTAACTACATTTATATGGGTGGGGGGAACCTTTTCTCCCTTCCTCCCCTCTCACTGTAGGAGAACTAACATTAATTTAGATTTATAGGGGAATTGGTTTCTTCACATTAAATACTGCTAAGAAGGAATAATAACATTTCTTCCCAAAGTGAGGCATTTGAGATGGAGGGGACAAAAGCCCCCCCCCCCCCCCCGCACACACACAAGTGATTACATCACCCACCCCCCCTCAAGCAGTACTTAGCCCAGTAAATCTGAAGACGGGCTCATCAGTGAGAAATACTTAGCAAAGATAGCTCTGCCTGTACTCTACATTCTGATATATGGCCTCTCTTTTTTTTGGATTTTCATTCCATATTCTATAGTTTTAACTGCAGTGTTTAATAGAGATTTTTGCCTCTACCTTTTTTTCATTGTGCTGCCCGTAATGTAGCACGTTTGTGACAGTGTATAAGTTGAGTTTGCAGTGAATTATGGAGGACTGAAATTAAATATCTAGAGTTCTTGATCCTTCCTGCTTTTAATATATATCAGAGGCATTTTAGGACTTTAAAATATATCTTGAGTATACTATTTGGATGCCTTTGTAAGATTTTTAAACCAAGAAATGACCGGGCTATCTATAAACCCAGATGCACTGGGGGGGGGGGGGGAAGCTACGTGCCGCAGCGTATCAGCTTTTGTCAACCTGCCAAGAGCGGAGCGTACCATGCTGCACGGAGCAATAAAAAAGGAATTAGAAAACTCACGGCTAGAGAAGAACAGTCAGATTAAACACCTTTTTGAAACGAAGAGCGTGTATACATTGCAGTGCTGTTAAATGTAGGATCTTCGTGAGATCTGGGGCTGTGTTAAGGCTGGTAGAGAAGAGAAATGATGAAGCAGGAGTGGTCTGGTGACATTTTTCTGACTTGATTGGCTGGGGTGTGTGATGTCATAGGTTACAGTGCAGCCCCTTATAGGTTTTGAAATGAATTCCAAGACACCATTACAAAGAAAGCCGGACTCTTTTCTTATAACTGAGCTCAGCCAAGGAAACTCTCGCACAAATGTACAACACTGTTTGGAATATGGAAGACCTGGATTTAGAATATGCTAAGCCAGATATAAATTGTGGCACAGACTTGATGTTTTATATAGAAATGGATCCACCAGGTAATACTGCAGTATTCTTGTAGAAAGCTGGTTGATGTTGTGGCATTTAATCTTTTTGACAACTACGGTTAACAGCTCCTCTTTGGATGTCTGTTTTTATTCATTTGTTCTAATTTAATGAGTTTGCTCATAGCTTGAAAATGAAACAAATGGTTTGACTGCCTGTGGAAGCAAGTCAGGCTGTGTGGGGTAAATGCTTATTCTTAGTTGAATGGATATAAATTGGATTCCAGTTTTTCACTGGCGTCTTTTGTTACTCGAGCTCGTTTGCTGTTTGGGTTATATTGTTGTATGTGGTTCCTTTAATTAAAAGGATGCACCCTTGGTGCTGCTTTCTCCGTTGACAGTGGGTGAGGACAGTGTGGCACTTTGCAGTGATAACACTCGGTACTTTAGAAAGCATGTACCAGTGCTGCTATCAAATGTAGCAGTGATTGCAACTCAGTTCTAGGTGCCCTGAAACTATTCTGAATCAAATGTTGAGACTTTGTCTGCCCTCTCTTCTGTTAAGATACTGCAGTGAGAGAAGTTGGCTTCCCATTACTGAGTCTGGGTCTTTCTAAAATATACCTGCTGGACTCCTGAAATTTTTTGCTTAAACTAATAACAGTGCTTTAAAACTTATGACTTAGAATTTAGCTAGAATTTATCCTAGACTTATTTTGCCTTCTCAATTATTTTCGCCTTCCTCCCAATTAAGAAATTCAGAAACAAACACTGCAGTCTTTCTTTATTTGTCACCAGTTGGTACATGAATACTGATTTGACATTGAGGAAGAGGGATATGGTTTTTAATCACTCTTGGCATAATATAGAGCACAGTTATCCAATAGAATATTATCATGAATACTAAAGAGATTGAGGTCACAGAGGAGTTTCTTAAAGTGGCTTTTGGCAGAACAGTGCCTGAAATACTAAGATTAGAGAAACCCAATTCCGCCTCTTAAAACATATTCCTGTAGATGAGCTTTTTTATGACCACAGCAGCATTTGTGGAGGACAGAAACCAAATTTGTCTTTTATAATTAAATAAGAGGAGGAAATTAAAACCAAGCCATGTGATTCCTTCTGCTATTCTCTTTGTGGTCTCTTACTTTAGATAGATTTGACCAGATATGAAACTTTAATTCAACTCAAACCTGAAAGTAGAAAATGTCGTGACTGACTCTGGGTTTACTTTGAAATTCATTCACATGGCCAGCCCATTTTATTTGTTGGTCTCTAAGCTCTTCTCTTTTTTTCCATTATGGTCTATAGTCAAAAGGATTTCTGATTTTTTTTTTTTTTTTTTTAAGAAAAGGTTCATGGACTCGTGCATTATTGCTGTGTTTCACAGTTGAAAATGTTACTTAAAGGAACTTGGGTCGACTTTTAAACGTTTATTTGTAGTTGGGACTGCAAAAACTTTTTCTTTCTCCTTCATCTACAGCACTGCCTCCTAAACCACCAAAACCCACTACTGTAGCGAACAACGGTATGAATAACAATATGTCCTTACAAGATGCTGAATGGTACTGGGGAGATATTTCGAGGTAAGGCTACGGAGACTCTTTGAGTTTCTCACCAGAGCTAGGGAGTTTTAGATGAAGAGAAAGAAAAGCAAAACGCACCAGCTTGCTAAGTTCCATTTTTAGGCTATCATCCAACATAAGCATGAAGCACAGTTGGTTCCCTTCCAAAGACGACCACAGAAGTCACTGAGCTCTGGGGAATTGTGGGTGCTGGATGCCACAGGAAATTAAATACCCGAGAAGTTTCATTACTGACAGAGCTGTCAGGGGGGCAGCAGGGTGAAGTGGCACTGCCTCAAGGCAGAGCGTAAAGTCACTCTCTTTATTAGACCAAAACTCTAAGAATTAATGTTATCAGCTTAAAGTGGCATTTCTAGTCTAAACCTTTTTTTTTTTTTTTTTTTTTGAGGGGAATGAAGAGTTGGGAGGAAACCTTTTGGGGATCACGACTTTCTGTGCTGATTTGTCAGAATGACTTGTGTGTTAATTCTTAAGCTCTGAAAATACAGTTAAGAAAATGTAACACGAGAATCACCAAATCCACTAGGTGAGCATTGTCTCATGTTCTTTTCACTTCAGGGAAGAAGTGAATGAAAAACTTCGAGATACAGCTGATGGGACCTTTTTGGTACGAGATGCATCTACTAAAATGCATGGTGATTATACTCTTACACTAAGGTGAGTTAGGGCATGTGGCTAAAATTCTAAAATTGGCATGTTAAAGGTGATGGGAGAACACGCTTTTTTTTTTTTTTTTAAGAGAATTCTAATGCCGTTATTTATATATTGCATTTGCAGGAAAGGAGGAAATAACAAATTAATCAAAATATTTCACCGAGATGGGAAATATGGCTTCTCTGACCCATTAACCTTCAACTCTGTGGTTGAACTAATAAACCACTACCGGAATGAATCGCTAGCTCAGTATAATCCCAAACTGGATGTGAAATTACTTTATCCAGTATCCAAATACCAACAGGTAATCACATGCTCACGTTAATATTTTAAAAAGATACTTTTAATGTTTAGAAAGTATTTTGAAGCAGGTGAATTGCATGTAATCAAGCTCGAAAAACGTTCAAACTGTAATTTTGTGATCACGAGTGTGTAGTGGCTCAATAAAATACTTTCACAAAATAAAGGACCATTGTTTGAGGATTTTTCCCATGTCAGATAAGTACCTTATCAACTGAATTTCTATTTTGTCCATTTTCTTCTAATCCTTCCAGGATCAAGTTGTCAAAGAAGATAATATTGAAGCTGTAGGGAAAAAATTACATGAATATAACACTCAATTTCAAGAAAAAAGTCGGGAATATGATAGATTATATGAAGATTATACCCGTACTTCCCAGGTGAGTTTTCTGTGAAAATCACATTAAAATTGTAGAGCTCTTAGTTACTAGAAGCTAATGCATGTTATATTCAGCTTCAGAAAAAGAATTTAAAAGGTTGAGTTTTTGCCAGTAAGAAAGTGGGGAGATCATTTATTTGTGAATCGTTGATTATTCTAATAATTACTTACTATAAACCTTTTAAATCGAGCCTGTAAGTATCAGAATAAATTAAGCTGGATTGGCATAACTGCAGATTGAAGAATTCTTTTTAGAGTGAAAGCTAATAATACTGGAAGTGCCACAGACTTGTCTAACCTCTGAAATGGGGATTTAACCGTGAGATGTCCTTACTATGAAAGGGTTGAGGCTACATTTACTGCCTTGTTTTCCTAGAGGCTTTAATCTCCTCTAGACCATCACGTATCTGGGACCGCCAGAGGGAGCAAAAGGATGGCATAAGCTGCTGATAAAGGGGAATGGTTTTTAAAGAAGATGAAAACTGTAGAAAACTGTCAAACAGTCATCTTCCAGAGACTGGGAAAATTCTCCAAAGGAAATGTGTGCTTCTGTGATACTATTTTAAGGGCTTTTAGGAATTTGCGTCCCACCTTGCTAACAAAATACTTGCGTGCCAGACAGTAGCGCCGGTCAAATGTCCTGGTAGTGTCTTGCCGTAAGAAATTGTCTTTTCTGTGAAAGGAATGACCTTGTCTTATTAAAATTGGGTTGCAGGAAATCCAAATGAAAAGAACAGCTATTGAAGCATTTAATGAAACCATAAAAATATTTGAAGAACAGTGCCAAACCCAGGAGCGGTACAGCAAAGAATACATAGAAAAGTTTAAACGCGAAGGCAATGAGAAAGAAATCCAAAGGTTGGTGACCCAGGAGGGTTTCCACTGCCCATGTGCTAGAGCACCACGATTCTCTTAAACTGTTTAAAGGTGACCTCGCTTTCTGTGAAACGACAGGGAGAGAAAGCATTCTTTACCTGAGGAAAACTGCTGGGAATCAATACTGCCACCTTGGGGGAACTTTCATCATGCTCCAGGTAATTATGGATGCATTGCTCTTGCCTACAGGATTATGCATAACTATGAAAAGTTAAAGTCTCGCATCAGTGAAATTGTCGACAGCAGAAGGAGATTGGAGGAGGACTTGAAGAAGCAGGCTGCCGAGTATCGTGAGATTGACAAACGGATGAACAGCATTAAACCAGACCTCATTCAACTGAGAAAGACAAGAGACCAATACCTGATGTATGTACTGGAAGTGGAACCCTGCACGTGCATGATTGGTCATTGCAAAAACTCAAGGATAGGTTCTTAATGCATTTTCCTTTTAAACCTCTTTTCCAGGTGGTTGACTCAGAAAGGTGTTCGGCAGAAGAAGCTGAACGAGTGGCTGGGCAATGAAAACACCGAAGAGTAAGTAGTTAGCACAGATGGGAGGTAGCAAGGGTGTTTTTTTCATTTAAGGAAAATGCACAACTTGCTTCGTTTGCAGAGCAAGTGAGGAACGGAACGTCTCGTAGGAGAAAATATTATCAGTCTCATTACCCAGAATTTTAAAAAAGGAAAGTTTAGCAAAGGAGAATGCAGATTTCCTTTTCCCCCATGGGGCTTTGAAGTGACATTGTGTCCGTGATGATGTCCTGGAACCGTCTAGAAAATCCGAACATATTTTGGGACCAATGTGGGTGGGGGTGGGGGTGGGGGGAGACAACCCTGTTTAGCATATTTTCAAAGCTTAAGTATACGTTTTGTTTCAATTATTTGAAAACTGGTGTTCCTCCTAGTCAATCAATTTCCTGATCTAAACTGGACAAACGGGATTGTTTAGATTGTTTAATACCTTGCTGTCTGCCGCAGGTAGCTACTGACTGACTTGAAAACAGGAAGAGTATCACTTAGTGCTACTAAAACTCTTTGTTCGGGGGTGGGGGTTGAAGGCTAAACTCAATGAGGAAACTCAGGCCAGAGAAGCTGGTTGAGTCAGACCCGCAATCGCTGGCCTGACTTGCTTGAAGGAGGGGCAGGAACTAGATCGACGCGAGGAGAGGGCCCTTTCTCAGAGGGCCGGGCTGCTGGCTGCCATGTACCTCATTTAGAAACCTTCTCTTCTACCTTTGTAGCCAGTATTCGCTGGTGGAAGATGACGAGGATTTGCCCCACCACGACGAGAAGACGTGGAATGTTGGCAGCAGCAACCGAAACAAAGCTGAAAACCTGTTGCGAGGGAAACGAGATGGCACTTTTCTTGTCCGGGAAAGCAGTAAACAGGGCTGCTACGCGTGCTCCGTAGTGTATGTACCCCCAGCCAATTATTTGTCTCGTCAGACATCTCAAGGAGGTGTTTCATTCATTCAGCCAGCCAACCGTGCGGGCAAGGATTTGGAAAAGTTCTAGCCTTTAAGAGTGTTCCAGTAGTACAACGGTGGAGAAGAGGAACTAAGACCTACTATTTTCAGGTCTAGGCAGGAATAGCCGTCGAGTAGAAAGAAACCTGCTGTTTAGGTGGGAGACTAGGGCTTGGGAGAAGTCCTGTTTTCCTTTTTCGTCTTTCAAATGGAAATAGCCACACTTGCTGCTTTTTGGGGGGCTTCCGTATAGTTAGAATCTGAGGTGATCCACATGGAAGCACCACCCACAGGTAAAGTCCCCATCAGGGACAGGTTAAAACAGTAAGAGAAAGGACCCTGGTCACTGTCCCTAAGTACACCCAAGAGAAGACATTTCCGTCCTATGGCCTATTTTTCTTTGTTTATGTACTAGTTTGGGGGTACTTTGAAGAGTGAGGTTGGATCACTGACGTGAATGTCCTCTAGGAGAGAAAGGGTCTCCGAGTATTTTATAGCCCATCACCTCCCTCCATTTAAAAAGCAGAGAAATATTGCTACAGGAAAGAAGTGCGAACTTTGAGGACAGGGGAGTAGGAGAATAGATGGAGAGGTATGTGGACGATTCCAGGCCTGCCTGAAAGGAGGAATCCTGTTAATGATTGTAATGGTACCACTCTGGTTGGGCGGCAGCGCTCATAGTAACGGCTAAAGTCACCACCCGTTGCCTGCTCACCACGTTCTAGGCATCCAGCAAGCCCCTCCCGTACACCGCCTCATTTCTCAAAGCTCCCCTCTTACAGATAGATTACTACTGTCTCCCTTTTAATCCATGCTAAAGATGACAATCCAGTGGCTCAGTGAAGCTGGGTTACCTCCCGAAGTTACTCAGCCAGTAAGTAAGTGACAAGGGACAACTCCACGAGTCTAGGGCTCCCCCAGGACTGCTCCCCAGGTGGAGGCTGGCCTGCATCGGGATTTTTCACGATACTTTTACCCAAAACGCCTCATCCTGGCCCAGCTCACCCAGGCCCTTGTGCTCTCTCTCCATGTGCAGGGTGGACGGTGAGGTCAAGCACTGCGTCATCAACAAGACGGCCACGGGCTACGGCTTCGCCGAGCCCTACAACCTGTACAGCTCCCTGAAGGAACTGGTGCTCCACTACCAACACACGTCCCTCGTGCAGCACAACGACTCCCTCAACGTCACGCTAGCCTACCCGGTGTACGCGCAGCAGCGGCGATGAAGGGCCGCCCTCCTGCCTGCTTCTCACCTTCAGCTCCCCGAGGCCTCCAGCAAGCACAGGGCTCCCCTGCAGCCCGACCTGGGAACTGAGCTGCGGACACCCAGCCGCCTGTCTTCAGATGTGACTCGAGCTTTCGATCACACGGCAGTAGGGGAAGACACATACACGGCAGGCTCGCACTGGGCGACGACCACCGTTCCTCGTCTGGAGTGCTTAATTAGCCTTCCTTCCTTTCCTCTTCCTTTCTTTTTGGTTTTGTTTTTTGGATTAATTTAAAGTCACAACCACACACGACACCAAGAGAAGAAATGCAAAAATCTCTGCGTGCAGGGACAAAGAGGCCTTTAACCATGGTGCTTGTTCGTGCTTTCAGAAGCTTTACCAGCTCAAGAGTTGGGACCTTGGAGACCGGAGCGGGGACGGGCTGACGAGCCCTGGCCTGGGGTCGCTCAGTCCAGCCTGGGTGTTGCCGTGCACGGTGGCCCCAGACACATCGCACTGTGGATTATTTCATTTTCTAACGAAATGAACCGATATGTAGCAGAAAGGCACTTCCGCTCACAGGGGACACTTTGGGGAACGTCCGCTCACGTACGTTCAGAGGAAATTCTGTTGTAGCAAAGTGCCAGAAAGTGTTTCATTAGAACTCTACAAACCAAGAAAACCCACCAACAGAAAAATGGAGCTTGGAAAATAGGACTTCAAAATGACACTTAGTATATAAAATATGTACATAATATTGAATGACTAACTATCAAATAGACGGATTTGTATCAATACCAAATAGCTTCTGTTTTGTTGTGCTGAAGGCTAAATTCACAGTGCTATGCAATTCTTAATTTTCATCATTGTTACCTGTTTTAAACGTACCTTCAGAATAAGCTTCCCCTGCCCCAATTTTTGTTGCTTGAAAACACTGTCCCTGATTTTTTTTGTTAATATTCATTTTGTTACTTGTTACCTTTTTTTTAAAAAAGAAGAAATGTACAGGATGCCAGTTTTAAAAAAAAAAATGGCTTCAGATTTAAAACTATGAAATATTTTACAGTTTTTCTTGTACAGAGTACTTGGCTGTTAGCCCAAGGTTAAAAAGTTCATAACAGATTTTTTTGGACTAAATGTTTTGTTGGGCAGTGCCTGATAAGCTTCAAAGCTGCTTTATTCAATAAAAAAAGAGAAAGATATATGAATATGACAAAGTATGGCTGAGTTCAACAATGTTGTTTCAAGACTTAAGATACGGTACCTGGCAATGTTTGTTTCGTAAAGAATTGTGAACTTCTTGAATCTAGGGAGGGGAATGTAGCAAAGGGATGTACAGGTGGGGGGGAGGGTGGCAGGATGCCATGCACTTTCTCTTTCTTGTGATTACAGAGAAGTGGATCACTGCAAAGTGAAGTCTTTTCCCACTTTGATCTGCTACTTACTATACCCTCATGACAAATACAAACCTATGGGAATGCTAGGTCTTAGGAAGGAAGGCAGGCAGGGTCCTGGAGCAGTGTTCACCCTTGTTGGAAACACTGATTTTAAAGTATCATTGCTGCATTTAGAAAACCTGTCTCTCTTTAACATTAGACTACCCGTTAACAACCAGCCAACATCCACTGTAGAAAAAGCATGATCTGAAAAGATATTTTTATCTGGATATCTGCTATTTTCCTAGCTTTCCACTCAACTTAGATCAGAAAGCAAATAGACATGGTCATAATCGTTCCTGCCCCGATTGTGGGGAGCTTGTTCAAGTCATGGCCATTGTAGGAATCATAGTAACAGTCCTCATTCACCCAAATAATTGTATGTGTTACACTTCACTGTGGGGAAAAGGAAGGACTTGTTAGAGTATTCTTTCCAACTGAAGGCAACAGCAAGAGATCTCTCTCCCCAATTTACATATGCAAAAGCCTTTGGGTTCAGTGGGAACTGTACCTGTGTTGGGAGGAATAATGGGGAGATGAAAATGGAATCTTAACTTCAGTTTTCCTTTCCTATTTAGAGTCACCACAGCTTTATTTCTCTTTCCTTCAACTACTGGGGGTAAGGGGGTTTTGTTTTGTTCTTTAATGTTGTTCCTTTTAAAATTCTTTCTTTTGAAAGAATCAGTCTAGTGGCTGACTCAATCAACTGTAGAATGTATTTTTTTTTCCTTTTTACATGAAGCTACTCATATCGATAGCAATAGTCAGTCTTACAGCCAGACTGTCAGCCCTCAAACTTGACTGTACTGACCTGACCATCTCCCTCGCATCTCCAGACAATTGACGATTCCCCTGGTTTTATTCTCTGAGTGTCTCCTTTACAACTATCCTTCCATGTCATACAGAAGCCCAACCATTAGTTAATAGTAGCTTATCAACTAGGTTTGGTGGTTTTTTTTTAGTAGCACATCCGTGTATGCTATTAAGGAACTTTAATTTCTAAAATATAAGATCTGAGATGGAATATTGCGTTAAAAAGCTACCATTCTGTCCACGTTTTTGCTTCACCACTTCACAAGATGGCATGGTATTTAGGCACTTGCCTTATTTCTGCCTCTCACGAGCAGAAATGCAATAGGTTTTTCTTTGACCAGCAAAGGCAGGATTCATTGTTTCCTGTCACCGTGAGTCACAACTTACCTATGACGCTACGCCTGTGCCCAGTACCCTTCTGGCAGCGTGTGGCATGCCATCACATCTGTCCTTGTAGATGTTTGACCAGCAGGGCTCTGAGTCCAATCATTCATCTCCTAACCACACTGAGCGGCTTATGATTAGGGATGGAGACAGCAGAGGCCCTCCTGATACATGCTTACATCCACGCATTGATTTTCCCCACCCAGCGCAGCATCCTGAAGATACAAGCCAGAAGCTAAGCTGAAGAGAGGCTGTGATGGGGCTTTAGAATTGGGAGCATTGGGATCTGATATAATACATGAGGGAAAAATCATAACCATGTTGAAAAGGCAAAAAGCCTGCGTCTGCAACACCGGACGACTTCACGGCCCTCGATATATGTATATATGTATATGTGCATGGACTGTGTTTCCAGTACACCTTTCAGCCAAAACAGATCCACAGTCGTTGAGTTCAAGTACATAACAAGCCAATGTCTAGTACAATTCTTGTATGTGTGTATGGGGTTTTTTTTTTTCCTTTGAAGTTGCTTTGTTTTGTCTTATAAAGGTGAAAAGTGTTTGCAAGTGAAGTGAGAAGAAGTTCATAATTCTTTGGCTTGTTTCTGTTGTTTAAAAGTTACTCCTCTTGGGTAGCTGGTCTACGTGACTCGCTGAACTCGGAAATCCTCGTTTTCAGTGTGTCAAGTCAAAATGTGTTTATGTGAGCTGTCACTGTGGGGAACCAATTGCTTTGTCATATAGCTGGTTATGAGCTAGTAACGTGTTTGGGAAGTCCTACTGATGTTCCTTTTTGGGAGAAAAATTCTGCTGGTTCTAACAACTGTGCTTTTGCTATGCATGGTATCCCAAGTCAGTTGGAGAGCAGACCCTGAAATTGGAGTTCAGGGTCATTTAAGAAAGGGGCAGTTTATAGCATAATGCCTCACATGGGACAAAGTTCTGAAATGCCAAATTCTTATTTTTTAGAAATCTAGTTATATAAGTTACTAGTATAAATTACTAGTATTATGAACAAAATTGGGTTCATTGGAAACACTAAACGACTTCACTTGGAACTTGTCACCGTGAGATAGCATTAGCTGCCCAGGATGCTGCTATTTAAAAACAGAAAAAAAAAAAAAAAAAAGGCGAAACAAACAAAAAAATCTCATTTATATGTGTGTATTTTTTAAAGCTACGATCTCTTCGATGTTTTTACAAATCTGTTTCTATGACATTGTTAAAATAAAGTTGGTCTTTTGACGAGAGGGAGGATGTCATGGTCAGTTGTAATTTTGCCTTTACAAGGCACCTGGGGCGGGGGGCGGGGGGACTGTGCCTCCTTGACATTTGTTCAAGCTATAGATTCAATGGAGCTGTGTCTTGTTGTTTTAAGTTGCTTTAATGCATTGTATTAGGTCTTCAAACAGAATAAAGTTTGTTTTGAAACTTAGGTTATGGTTTGAAATTTCACTGATCACCGAAGACATATGTTCTCTTGCTCTTTCGGTTAATAATGTTGCTTCCCCTGTAGTCTCCCACCCACCCCCTTTCACTGTCATTACATTACCTCATTTTTGTCAAGTGAGAAGAACACATGAATGATGGCTCAGTGTCATTTACATCAGTTCACTATATCCTTAATGATGAAAAGAAGTAGCTCTAGGTGATGTCATTGCAAGGCATGTTCTTGGTCCAAAAAATGTGATCTCTACTGTCCCTCAATCCCTCCCCTTCACCATCCAACCCCAAACCTTCAGAATGGTTCTCTACAAACTATGGTTAGTGAAGGTATCTGGCTTTGTCTCTCTGTTCTACAGGCTGCGTCTTTGAAACAGGCCCAGTGCAGGGGCACTGTGAGGCACTGTGCAGCAGGCAGAGGTGTGACATGGGGTTCTAGACAGGGAACAAAGATTCACTACAGATGCTGGTTTCACACTCTAGTATCTAGTCAATATATGCAAACCATTCTTAATCTAAAATAACTTTCCCCACTTGTTTTGATTGCTGAATGAATTTATAATGAGGCCACTTTGCATGTACATGGCACTCAACACCTAAGCACGGTGAGGGTCCTAGACATGGAGGCATGGTCTAGTGATGGCGATGAGAGGGGCACATAAGTAATTACAGTCATGGCAACAATGACTAATATACTGTGTAGAGGAGTAACTCTTGAGATTCATTTCCTGCTTTTCCCCTGCTCTGTTCTGTATCCCAGAGAACTATATACTCAGGGTCTCTTGCCCTCTGGCTTCTAGGTAGTGAATCTCCCCTGTGGCTCCAGTTCCTGCCAGAAAGACTCTTTGGAATCTGAGCTGCCCTACTATGCTCCTCTCTCCCTCTCTGTTCCTCTGGCAACAGTGCCTCCTCCCATTTTTATTCTAAGCCAAGGGGTAGTTGCAGCTTTCTGTTGTTGCTAAACCTCTGGTTTCTCTCACCACCCCCAGTTTGGTTTCTGAGTCCTTCCATCACCTGAGTAACCAATCCTCTTTATTCAGGTCTTTCTTTAAGAGCTAGAGTCATTTCTTTTTTCCTGACTGGTCTCTGATTGGATAGACCAAGTGATTATTGTTCATTTAAACTCTTTGTATGTGTTATCTGATTTAATCCTTCCACAATTATGAGTTAGAAGACAATATCTCTGTTCTACAAATGGGGAAACTGAAGCACTGAGGCTAAGCGACTTATCCAAGATCATGCAGCCATTAGAACACAGAATAGAGCACCTAGGCCGTCTGACTCAGGCCAGAGCTCTCCACCCCTAAGCAAGCGCTGAAAAAGGCACTAGGAAGGTCAGAGAAAAGTTCACTAGTTGCTCTTCCTGCTGGGGGATCTAACCATGTGGCTCTCAATTGGTGGACAGTATACAAGTGGCACATAACAAATAGCAGGAAATGGCATGGGCTTGCTTTAGACCACCTAGGTTCCCGAGTGTGGTCTCCAGGCTAGCAGCATTGCCATCAGGACCACTTGGAAAGCTGTTAGAAAGGCCTGCTCGAGGGCCCCGTCTACTAACTCAGAGTGAGGCCATCTGTAGCGGCAAGTTCCCTGGGCGATTTTCAATGTATGCTAAGATTTGAGAATCACTAGTATCACCAGATTGTTGAAATAGTACTTCTAGTATTTTAATTAAAAGCCACTACTAATTTTTTTTTTTTTTTTTTTTTTTTTTTTGCGGTACGCAGACCTCTCACTGCTGTGGCCTCTCCCGTTGCAGAGCACAGGCTCCGGACGCGCAGGCTCAGCGGCTATGGCCCACGGGCCCACTGGCCCAGCCGCTCCGCGGCATGTGGGATCCTCCCGGACCGGGGCACGAACCCGTGTCCCCTGCATCGGCAGGCGGACTCTCAACCACTGTGCCACCAGGGAAGCCCCCAAAAGCCACTACTATTAATGAGTGATATATATTTTACTTTATGGTATAATTTGTGCTCACAGTATAGATTCTACACAGGAAAGATAATAGACCCATTTACAGCTTAGGAAGGCCTAGCTGGGTCTTAGCTCTTTCTTTAACCAGCAATGGGAATTTGACCAACTCCGTTTACCTATCTAGACCTCCAACTCCATACCTGTGAAGTAAGGTTATGAGTCCAGAAAGTCTTCAGGACTCCTAGAACATATACTGTGGTCTGGTGTACTGAATGAAACAACTCAATCCCCCAGTTCTCCACTTCTAATTTGACCAAAATGATAACCCACAACGTGACTTGTGACTACAGACCACTGAAGTTGTAGTACTGGCCCTTTATCAGTGACAATGGTCAAGAAGCATTAACCAAATTAGAGTCCCCTTATCTTGCTGATGTCTTAAAGGTACACTCCAGGCGAATCAAAATGGTAAGCCAAGTTCTCGATAATGTGATGAGGAGTACGTTGGAAATGACACTTTGTCCACCTATCTAAAGCACGAGGCACGGAGTCAGAGAACTTGGCCTTCCAAATCTTCTGGGACATGGTGGGAGTGAGGTAAGTATGGTACGTTAAGACTTTAGGGACTTCCCTGGTGGTGCAGTGGTTAAGAATCTTCCTGCCAATGCAGGGGACACGGGTTTCAGCCCTGGTCCAGGAAGATCCCACATGCCACGGAGAAGCTAAGCCTGTGCACCACAACTACTGAGCCTACGCTCTAGAGCCTACGAGCCACAGCTACTGAGCCCGTGTGCCACAACTACTGAAGCCCACATGCCTAGAGCCCGTGCTCCGCAACAAGAGAAACCACTGCAACTAGAAGTCTACACGCCGCAACAAAGAGTAGTCCCCGCTCGCTGCAACTAGAGAAAGCCCGTGTGCAGGAACAAAGACCCAACACAGCCAAAAATAAATTAATTAATTAAAAAAAGACGTGATACTTCTTGATACTGTGTCAACTCAAAAATTTTTTTCTGAACTTGTCCCTTAAAAAAATATATCTAAAAATAAGAATCCTGTAAAGACTTAAATGTAAGAACTGAAACCATGAAACTCCTAGAAGAAAACATAGGGAAAAACTCCTTATATAGGTCTTGGCTATGATTTTTTGGATATGACACATGAAGCACAAGCAACAAAATCAAAAATAAACAGGAGGGACTGAATCAAACTAAACAGCTTCTGCACAGCAAAAGAAACAATCTACAAAATGAAAATACAATGAACAGAATGGGAAAAAAATATTTGTAAACCACATATTTGATAAGGAGTTAATATCCAAAATATATAAAACACTAATGAAACTCAATAGCAAAAAACACACAAATAATCCAAAATGAGCAAAGGACCTGAATAGGCTTTCTTTTTAAAGCTACTGAAAAGGCCAACAGGTACATGAAAAAGATGCTCAACATCACTAATTATCAGGGAAATGCAAAATGAGCTAACACTCACTCCCCCGCACAAGAGAAACAGTTAACAACAATTCATGGACAAGACACAACTAAGAGAATCCTAGAACAAGGGAGTGAGGCGAAAGCACCCCCCTGTGCTTCAGTAGTAGTCCCAACCAGCGGTTTTGCTCATCTGTAGAACCAAGTCGATGGCCCAGTCTGACTAGGGTACTTGGCAGGGTACAGGTCTATCTGATTCAAGTCCCCAGTGGAGGAGTTTTGGGGGCCCTGGAGCTTGGTCTGACCACTCCCAGGCAGAAAAGCTGAGTCACAGCCCTACCAGCTGCAGAACATGGCTCCCATCCCCATCTGACAGGAAGGGCTGGTGAGAACATCTGGAAGCTGTGTAACCCAGCAACACCTCAGCTGAGAGGCAGGTGGACAGAGCTGATCACCCCCAGAGTAAAGCAAGTGGCCCTGTTCAGCCAGGGAACTTGGGGCATGGGTCTACTTGAGTCAGGATCACAAACAAAGAGCCTTAGTGGTTTTGGAGCTACTTTTCTCACCATGCCCAGGCAGGGAAATGAATTCATAGCCCCGCTCATTGCTGAATACAGCCTTCAGCCTGCCTGACCAGGGAACCTAACCAGAGCACACAGGAAGCTGCACAGCCCATCCAACAGTCCTGCTTACATTGGAACTTCAACAGAGCATAGCCCATGCTTTCCCTGTCTGCAGAGCAAAACTGGTGGCCTCACCTGACCAGAATATTCAGTGCACACTGTTGCCTGATTCAGGTCCCCAAACAATGAGTTGTGCAGGCTCTGGGTCCCATCCTGCTGTCCTAACAGGGCAGAGAAGCTAATTCATAGCCCCACCTACTCTTGAGTATATTACCCAGTCCCTGCCATCTAGTAAGCCTGACCAGAGAATCAAGGCAACTGTGGAGCCCATCCTATAGCCTCACATGGGCAAGGAACCAAGCCAGCAGTCCTTTCCAGCTGTTCTCAGCTAGTGGCATACACCCCCACCCCTGACCTCAGCTTGAACAGCTGCCTCACCCCAAAATAAACCCTAATAGCAGGCTCAACCTGCCCAAGGACATTACTAGGAGACATGTCCAGAAACCCAAACTGAACTAACTGGTGAAGAACTGTCTCTGCCAAAGTAAACATGCAAAGTCTGGAAGAGGAGACCACATACTCAAATGCACAGATACCAATTTAAGGAATCAAGGATCACAAAAACATCAGGTAAATATCATACCACCAAAGGAAACTAATAAAGGGCTAATAGCTAACCCTAAAGAAATGGAAATCTATGAACTGTCAAAAATTTCAGAATAATCCTCTTGAAGAAGTTTAGTGAAATACAAGAACACAAAGCCAAACAACTAAATGAAATTAGGACATCTACATGACCAAAACATGAAGTTCAATAAAGAAACAGAGACCATAAAAAAAAAAAAAAAGAAATCAAAAAAATCGAAAAAAAAAAAAAAAAAAAAAAAAAAAAAAAAAAGAATGACAGAGAAGAAAACCTACAGGACTTATGGGACACAATAAAAAGAAACAATATTCATATTGTGGGAATTCCAGAAGGAGAAGAGAAAGAGAAAGGGACAAAGTAAAACTAAAGCAATAAT